GAGTAACTGGAGTGGCACGTAGTAGGTGTGGATAGAAAGGCTGCATGTTGTAGAGGTGTCATTCTCTCCGGATTAATACAGCTTCAGTCAAAATACAATTGTGATCACCTATAAAATTGACAAAAGAATTCTAAGGTTTATTTGGAAGAATAAATTAATGAGTGTAACTAAGGCATTTTAGAGCAGGAAAAAAAGTGAGGGACAGTTGCTCTATCAAATATGAAAATGGACTGTCCCATTTAAATGGTGGGTATTGGCATCAGAATGTGTAGATATGTGGGAGCACAATAAAAGGTCTAGAAATTAAGCCTGGTCTTCACAAAACCCCAACTGATGCAGACCAGCTGACTGGGAAATAAAGTTAAGCAAGTTTTACATTTTCTTATCTTAAGATAAGTTCTCAATAGACTAAAAGCTTCCATGACACACACAAAAACAACTCATGAAAATGCTGGAAGTATAGGTGAGCATTTGTATAGTCTAGTCTTTCTAGGTAGAAACTTTATTCCTGTCTGACTACATAAAAATAAAAATGCTCAGAACAGCAGATAAGACAACTAACAAAACAAAATTAAACTTTTGTTAGCCACAGTATGCATACGAATTACATAAATAATGATGATGCTACTGTTGATGAAGATGATTTTTTAAAAAGACATAACTCAAATAGAGAAAAAGGATAAAAGATATGTCTAAAGTTTTAATATTTTGCATAGCTTTTGTCCCAGCACATTTACTCATTGCTTTTGAAATAGTCTTGAATGTAAGGAAAGATTTATTTATGAGGGTTTATTTACTTCCCCATCCTTTACAAATGGAAAAAGTTAGAAGCAGTTAAAATGCCCAGCACTAGGGGATTGGTATAATATTAATGTATTACACAGTATTTTACAATCATGCAGTGGAATACTATGCAATATTTAAAGGAATGATTTATTTGTTTCCTAAAGCTGCAGTAACAAACTGCCACCAGCTGGGTGGCTTAAAACAACAGAAATTTGTTCTCTTATAGTCCTGGAGGCTCGCAGTCTGAAATCAAGGTGCAGCAGGGCCATGCTCTCTCTGAAGGCTCTAGGGGAGGATCCTTGCTTGCCTTTTCCTGGGTTCTGATGGCCTTGCTGTTTCTGGGCTTGTAGATGCATCGCTCCAGTCTCCGCCTCCGTCGTCACATGGGTTTTTTTTTTTTTCTTCACTAAGAGCCTTTATAAACGAGGTTTTCATTCTGTGGGTTTAAAAATGAATTAATGTTCCTGAGTGCCATAACTTTCATCTAATTGGTTAAAAATACTTTAGAGTTTGGCGAAGTTCAAAACAGATTTTAAAATGTCATTTAAGACAGAGTATTTCAAAGTAGAATACTTCCATATTATACAAGATATTTTTTTTTTTGCTTTTTCAAATTACAGATAATTTAAAATGAGTAGGTTTGAAATCTTCATTTTAAGTGCTTATGTTTTGAAATTTTTACTGACTATATATGTAATATTAATAGTTAGATTTCTCACTCCATCCAAGCAGAATTGTTTTAGGTAAGTGTAAACTTTCAAACTTTGCAGCTACTTGTCTCTAGGGCGCTAGTGAGATATTTGAAATTAAAAATTGCCATGTTATTCGTTGTTGTTTTCCTAGGCAAGGAATTGTTCCTCCAGGTCTTACAGAAAATGAATTATGGAGAGCAAAGTACATCTACGATTCAGCTTTTCATCCTGACACTGGTGAAAAGATGATTTTGATAGGAAGAATGTCAGCTCAGGTTCCAATGAACATGACCATCACAGGTTGCATGATGACATTTTATAGGTAAGTGATGGATATGTAACAACGGTTTGTTTGATATCACAAAAGCCTAAAGTACATTTTTATGTAAATAATTTTATTGAGATAAATGTCATTTCATAAGTATAAAAAGTGATGAATATGGGAATTAGCTTGATTGAATCATCCACAATGTATACATGTATCCAAATAGCACATTGTGCTCCAAAAATATATACAACAAAAAATAAAATTGAAAAAATAAAATGGGGGTGTAATTGCTTTAAAAAAAGAAACAAATGTCATTGCATTTTTATTTCCCTTTTGTATAAATGTTGCTGCTCTGGGGTCTTTTTTACCTTTCTCCTCTACTAAATACCATCTTCTTCATTATTCAAAAGGAGCTTGAATTTTTCCCTAAATCTTAGACCCAAAAGAAAATGAGGTAGAGAAAGAAAATAAAGAGTCTGTAAGCAAATTCTCCTTTTAATCCCTCCGTATAGATATAGGTATAGGTATAGATACAATACAGGTGTAGGTGTGGACATAGACACAGACATACAGGATTGTACATGCAGTTAGGAGGGGCCAGGACTGCTTAGCCTACATATGGCTTCATTTTTCCCCCAAAGAAGGGACCTGACATTTGTTGAGTAAATATCTGTGCCAGGCCTTCTACAGATTTTATCTTACTTCGTCCTCATAGTAACCCTCTGAGCTTGGTGTCATCCATATCTACTGAACGAGGACACTGAGGATCACAGAGGTTAAGAGTCCGCCTGGCCACACAGGTCCTAAGCCTGTGGCAGCCCAGATGCATAGTCCTTGCCCAAGTTTCTCCCTTCCCAGTCTGTCTCCTCCTTGGTTTCTGGTGCCCACATTCTCTGTTCTGTGCAGCGATTAGGTCCAGGTGATGGTGGGTGTGTGACCGCTTGCTATGTTTCAGGACTACGCCGGCTGTGGTGTTCTGGCAGTGGATTAACCAGTCCTTCAATGCTGTCGTCAATTACACCAACCGAAGTGGAGACGCTCCCCTCACTGTAAAGTAAGGCTGCGAGATTGACGGTCCCCTGCGGTTCTCCAGTGTTCATTTGATTAAGTGGTGATGCTCTCCTGTTTAAAAAAGTGTATCTGTATAAACTGCTTATATTGTTCAGAATATTATGTAGCATCTTTTCAAGTAAAGTGCTTCTTTTTCTCCCTCTCTGTCAAGACAACCGTTTTCTTCCAACCTGCTTTCTCAGACATTACTCAAACTGTTAGTGGTGCTAGTAGAATGATACATCTCTCATTGCCGCTGCGGACACGTGGCAGGCAGCAGGTCTGGCCTCTGGTGAATGACAAGCCGCACCCCTCAACCCTGCCCAAGTCAACAGCCACCAGCATCAAAAGGAGAGGGGTCAACCGTGTGGTCTCTGGAGAAATCAAGGAAGACCATGGTGATGTGACCATTATATCTGACTTTAAAAAAAAAAAAAAATAGCTCATCTGTGGAACCCAAAAGAAAGCAATGGGTTTAAAAAATTTTCCTCTCATAAAAAAAATCTGACAGACTAAAATGTCAGCATAACTTGCATTACACTTGAAAGAAAAGTGCTTTTCTTTTTTTTATTATTTAAAATTGCATTCAACAGTCCATGTTCTTCTACCATCATTGTGTGGAACAAAGGATATTGAAATCTGCAACCCAGCGGAATTTATCACAGTTAAAATTTCTTTTAAAGGAAGAAAGAATTGCTTGTGCTTTATTGCATTTTGAAGATGAGACTAAGTATTTTTATACAGTAAAGTAACATTTTTAAAATGGCAGCACTTCATTTTTGCTTTCAGTATGTATATTAATATTTTGAGAAGTATTTTTTATTTAAGCAAATATGTTCCAAACATTTAGCCCAATACACATTTTCCTGTATTCATAGCTTTCTACACACAAACCCTCCCTCCCACAAATACACAGTCTATATGTCTACTCGTTTGGGATCGTACTCAGGTTATATGTGAAGAATCCTATTTTTTATGGGTCTTTTTGCTTTTTCTCTAGATTCTTATACTTGTAGGAGTGATAAGGAATGTTGTTTTTCGGACTCTCCACTCTTAGTCATGCTCTTTTATATTTCCCCCTTGTTTCTTCAAATAAGGTACCAGAGTTCCCTGACACTCATCATTTATGGGATATCCTTTTTTCATTTCAGTGAATTGGGAACAGCTTATGTTTCTGCAACAACTGGTGCTGTAGCAACAGCTCTAGGACTTAACGCATTAACCAAGGTACTCGGATTTTTATTTCCATAATAAACTTCTTCATTCATTTTCACCTGCCTGGCTCAAAGTCCCTCTACTGTTCCTCAAAACAGTTCAAGTCTGTGACTTTCTTATCATACTCATTATCTTTAGCTACATAGTTTAATTATATCTTCCAGTAAGTTTGGGAAGGGTTGTTACCTCTGCCGATACTGTGGTCTGTGCCTGGCGCTGTGTATGAAATGCCAAATGCTCACCTCCCCAACGGCCTGCTGGAGACTGTGGTAAGCCGTGTGCCTCAGGCCACAGCCCTGAAGAGGTGGAAGAGCCAGCGTCTGAGCTCAAGACTTTGGGACTCCAAAGCCCGTGCTCTTTCAGCCACGCTAAGCTGTCAGAATGTCTTAGAAGCATGCCTGGTCCCAGCATGCCCATGCCAGACATAGAAAAATACTACTAGGAAACAAGTTTTGAAAGTACTCTTGGCCTGAGTTTCTATACAAATAGGACTCTGCGTTTTTAAGAGTTTTCGAGTAGAAAGTTATTTCCATCCAGTAATACAGGAAAGGGAAGATAATGCTTTTGGAATTCTCTCTTCCACAGCATGTCTCGCCACTGATAGGACGTTTTGTTCCCTTTGCTGCCGTAGCTGCTGCTAATTGCATCAATATTCCATTAATGAGGCAAAGGTAAGATTCATACATACTCTTAGCCAGGGCTTACGCTTGACAGGATAGTCTCTTGTAATAATTAGCTTTGTTGAAACTCTTAAAAATTTATTTTAATCTGTACAGATGAAATTATATGAGATTGGGGATTTACTTCGAAATAATATGGGGCTGGGGTGAGGACGGACCCCCTGATGAAACAAGTTTAGCCACGAGTTGCCAATTATGGAAGCAGGCCAAGGAGTGCGTGGCGTTTAGATTAGTTTATTCTCTAAGATAGGTTCTTCCCCCGCAAGAATTTTCTTTTGGGGCTTAAAGTAATATTAATCTATATCTTTGGAAGTATTCTTTTAGAACTGGCAAAAATTAAAGGAGAAGAAAGAACAAGAAAAAGCATTTGAAATGAATAACAGAAAACAGGGTATCAATAGGATTTATAGTATTAGTAACTATAGTTAATAAATATCCAATAAGGGCCCCATACTAGTGACTTCTTCTATGTCAGTACATTAAGTTAGTTGACTTAATAATGCCATGCGTTGTATCTATTTATCATTTAGAAAGTTGCTCACATTTGCCCAAGGGCACAGAAATTAGCCTTTTCTTTAAGCTAGCATATCCACCCTTCAAATCATATTGTTGTTGAAAAAGGTACACCCTTTTAAGAAAGTTTACTAGTGTTATTTGACTTTTGTGTCTATCCCAGGAGGATTAAGCTTGTTCATCGTATTTAAAAATAAACTTGTTTGTACCAGAAATAACACTTGAGCGAGCATTTGGATTAAGTGGGGACTTGATCTTTCCCATCGTAGTATTGTTTCAAGATGCTTTGTGAAGGCATTGGGGAACTCCTTTGCGTGTGCTTTGCTCTGCAGGGAGCTCAGAGTTGGCATTCCGGTCACAGATGAAAACGGGAACCGCTTGGGAGAATCAGCAAACGCTGCAAGACAAGCCATCACGCAGGTGGTCGTCTCCAGGATCCTCATGGCAGCCCCGGGCATGGGTTAGTAGAACTTTGTCCTCATTCATTCATTCTGTGAATATAGACTGAGCAAGCCTTTATGGATCAGCGAACAAACAAAAAAAGTCACTCCTTTTAGTGGAAATTACCTTCTGTGGAGGAGGCAGAAAATAGACAAGTAAATAAAATATGCAGTGTGTGAAATGGTGCTAAGGGCTAGAGGAAGGAGGATGTGGGCACTGGGGTGGAAGCAGCCGCAGACAGGGAACAGACTGGCTCAGGGGAAGGGAGTGAGCCAAGCAGGGGTCAGGGACGCATACTCTGGGCAGAGAGGGCAACAGAGAGGCCAGAGTGCGCCTGGTGCGTAGGAGGCATCGTGGGAGACAGGTGCAGCTGGAGCAGAGCGAGGGAGGTGGGGAGCAGCAGGAAGGGTGTTGCGAGGCCACGGAGGGCAGAGCGTGGATGGCTGCCCTGGTGTTTCCGGCTTGGCTTTTCCTCTGAGAGACAGGGAGCCATGCAGGATTTTGAGCAGGCCGGTGGCACAATCCGACCTAGGTTTTAACCGTGTCATCCGGATGCTGGGTTGATGAAAGACTGAAGGAGGAACAAGAATGTTGTACGGAGCCTGTTCAGGGGCCGCCTCAGTGTTCCAGGTGAGACCCAGTGGCGGGCGGGGCCGGGGCCATGCAGTGGAGGGGATGGGAATTTGACAGGAAGGAATTCGATCTTTACAAACCTTGAAAAGAAACTTCCAGAGTCCTTGGATAGAAGTAGTTTCTACTGAAGGTTTATTTGTATCAATAGGAAACCCTAGGAACATGCAGCAAATCGGAATGGTTAGAGCAGCTACTAACAAAACGTGTGCCAAGCCGCCACTTGTTTTCTCCACGGGGTGTGGGGCCAGCATCACCCAGAGCAGCAAATCTACACTGCGTTTATTTCCTCTGAGGATGCTGGGCCAGCGGGCTGCTTAGAGCTGCCTTCAGACCAGGCCTAGAGAAGGTTCTCAGACTCACCCAGAAATCACAGGACCTGGGAGTTACAGCCCTCTCCACAGACAAAACAGAAATTAGTATTAAACAGAATGTATCGTTAATATTAAAACAAATTTAATTTTATCATCTGAACTGAATGCAAACAGCACTTGGCTTATGAAAATGAAGCTCCCAAATGAAGCATACTTCATCAACCACTGTCCAGCTTTCTCACTAATATTTTTTGCAGTTTTTACATTCCTTCTGTCACTGCAAATGCTCATTAGCAGGCAAGTAGGAGCAGGCAACAGAAGTTGAACCAAAGTGCACGAAGGAGAACTTTGAAGACCGTCATATTTGCATTCCAACTAATTGGGGAGAGACCGCTATTATCTGATTGAACAAAGGAACACCTCGGACATCCCACCCTTGTGGGATGCCAGTGTGTTCTGTGAGGGTGGCTGGGAGGCCACAGTCCTGAAATGCAGGCGAAGCTTCCCCGAGTCCAGAACCAGCACACTTGTCACTCACCTAGGAGGAGGCTGAGGAGCCCACCCCGACATGCCTACCGAGTCCTGAGGCCAAATTTGCTGAAATTGAGGTTACAACTCCAACTTCTACCCTGGGTTTGCTTTTGGTTTTGGTCTTTCCCATTTTGAAATGCCTTATTCCTCTTGGAATTCAACCAGCCCAACAAATCCATTTCCAGTGACTTGGTTATTATAAATGCTATTGAGTCCCCTGAGGAAAAACAAAATCCTTCTGTCTCATTGAAATTTACAGGGTAGTTGACATACTGAAGTGTAGGATATGACAGTTCAGTGTGATAAAAGTTATGAGTGAATGAACTAATTCTGCCCATCACATACCCAGCGTTTTACACACATTGTTGCGTCAAATCAGCATGGGCACTTTAATACTGTTTTCTCCATTTTATAGGTGAGGAAAACAGGAAACAAGGCTTAGAGAAGTTAGGTGACTGTTTCAGAGTCCCCCAGCTAGCAAGTGGTCTAGCCTGTACTGAAGCGGTATCTGCCTCCACCAGTGCTGGACACCCAGGAAAGGCTGCATTTGCTTTATTATTTAATAATGTAGGAGGGGAAGGTTCCTGATGTTTGTATCGTTGCCTGTTTAAAGTTAAATGTCAAGTTCTCTTCAAGATTATAAAACTTTCTGGCTGGCAGAGGGCATTACATTGTTTTTCAAAAATCTAGAAAATAGGAACAGTTTTCTATTTAATAAATTTAAATTTAATAATTTAAAGAATTACTGCAAATAGTTTTTACTCTGCCAGTGTGAAAAAATAGGCTAAAAGTGACATAAGCTTACTGTCAAATTGTTGGAAAAAATGTGAGCTGAAAACAGACATTAAATAGAGATTTAAGTGACTCTGTCTTTACTTTCAGCTGTCCCTCCATTCATTATGAACACTTTGGAAAAGAAAGCCTTTTTGAAGGTAAGACCCAGTTTTATTTGTCATTTTCTCAATTCTTTTCATTCCTTTTCAGACTTCAAAGTATACAGAATATTTGCTACATAAATAGTGAGTAAAGAATTTGAAGGTCAGTTTTTCTCAGACTCTAATGTAAATAAAAAGATGTTTCCAGAATCATTTTATTTCTAATCTCGGAATTTGAAAAAGCTTCTCGTACATGAAGACCACTGCTATTGAGAGATCGTAGGTCAGTTATACACTTAGTCATCAGCTGAATGCCTCGCTAGGGAAAAATGAAGAGATGATGTGAATTTGGAATGATGTGTTTAGAAGTCACTGTCCATACTATCAGAATGAAAAACTAATTTGGAGTACTGGTTTCATGGGGTCTCAGTGTTGGAATGGTTGCCTCAGTTCCACTGATGTCTCAGAGACGAACACTGGACAGAAAATGTAGTTGGGCATACGGCATAATTTTCTTGCTATGACTGATGGCAATTGTTTTAGATATACCCTGGCATTTTCTCACATGAAGGAACTAGCAAATGATACAAGCAGTTAGCCCCATCTTAGCCCACCGTTGCCACACCACTCCAGGCTTTTACACAGTGATAAGGTGAGTAAATACTGTGTTCTCTCCAGCCTCATCTTAATGTGTGTGTGTTAGCTTTGCTTGATATTGTATTCCCTGCAGTCATAATTTAGAAGTGTGCTGCCTCACTCGCTCTTCCCACAGAAGCCGTCTGCTGCCCAACCCCACACTGAAGGGGCCACTGATTTCGAAGTCCCTGTGTCAAGGCCCAGAGAGGCGGTCAGCGTCGCTCGCGGATCAGTCCCAGTGCCTCACTAGCTACAGGGGGTCTGGTGGTAGCTGTACTCATTCAGAACTCAATAGAAGATGTTGCCTTGAAAAAGTAATGGCTAAATACTGTTGAGGTTCCCACATACACCTACCACTCCCAAGTTCAAGGTTGCTATTACACTTAAATATTGCATTTTTCCCACAGAGAGAAGACAGACTTAATTGATAATATAGCCATGACTAAAACATATACAGAGGCAGCTTATATTAATGTCCATACTATTCCGTGTTCAAACCACTTTCACATACTATTGTGAAAGGCAGGCTTTACCGTGCCCCCTTTACAAAGGCTCGAGGATCATTTCCTCAGCAGTTCCCGATGCCCACGTGGGAGGTGTCTGCCTTGGTTGGCCTTCCCCTTGTTCCCCCGACTCCCACGGCCAGGTGTGCCGCCTCTGCAAGGATGTACTTATCTGGGCTTTTACCTTGGAAATGACCAAACTCCTCTGCAAACATGAAACTAATTGAACATTCTGGGCTTTTTTAAATGGTGATGCTTGGGGAGCATTCAGCATGACTCATCGTTCCCCCCACGCCTTATCCTTTCCCAAGTGAAGAGCTGGAAAAAGCCATCAGCTGTGGGCAGGTGACTCACGAAAATTTTTGCAGTAAACCAAAAAGTTTACTGCCTAAAATCTGGGCTTCCACGAACGTTTTTTCTTGAAGAATAGTTCCTGTTGTCTCTTTAAACTTAGGTCATTCTTGCTGGCACTTTCATTGGGAATAAAATTGATATGGTTTGGGTCCTGTAATAATAGTTCTCTTTCCTTAAGTCCTAATTCTTTTATATTCCTGTTAATAAAAGTGGACTGCTATGGCTACTCAGTACATTTTCAGGACTATCTGCTAACCAAATGTGAAGGAAGCATTTATTTTTACATTTATATATTTCTTTAGCAGCCCTTTGCTGAATGCTTGTTTATGCCAAGCAATGTGCCAGGCGCTAGAGTCACCCAAAGAGGACATGAGCCCTGCTCTCAGGAAGCACATTGTGTTGTGGGGAAAGAGTCACAGGACAAATGCTCCCAACACACAGTGATTATAGCTCTGAGGGAATACAAAGGAGGTGTCTTACCCGACTGGCATAGATGGGCAGAGACTGGAAGAGCATCAGCCAAGGGCCCATGTTCTACAGAAGCTCAGCAAGGACACAGAGCGTGGCTT